GCGGTAATACAAGCACTGAGCTGTGTATTAATTGAATGTCAAGCGAAGTGCGCTTGAAATAGATTACATAAGGCAAAACGAAATTAGAAAAGCCGTGGTAAAACACATTTATAAATTTTAAATACTCAAATTTATGAGCCGGCGGCCCAGCTGTAATACAGAACAGGTAGTTCCGATCTGGGTCCGAATCTAAACGAGCGGGCCAGCTGCATGGTGTTTTCGTGGTTTTCCCTGCCTGTAACGTATATGCGAACCAATTTTCCCTTAGAAAATTCTCCATAAACGCATCTCATCCTTTAGGTGAATAGACCTAGGGATCTTTCCCATAATAAACCAAACCAAATTATGGCAACCGAAATTAAATTCATTCTAATATCATTGAGAAGAAAAATAACTGTGCTGTAAAACCAGCGCAGGTAGTTCCGATCTGGGTTCGAATCTAGGCGAGCGGGCCAGCTGCATGGTGGTTTCGTGGTTTTCCCTGCGTGTAACGTGTATGCGAACCAATATTCCCTTAGAAAATTCTTCATAAACGCATCCCATCCTTTAGGTGAATAGACCTAGGGATCTTTGCCATAATAAACCAAACCAAATTTAGGGCAAATGAAATTAAAATCATCCTAATATCATTGAGATGACAGTAAAAATATGCATTTATCATTTTCTAAACTAAGATCCTTTGCTATGATTTATCTGCTACTAATAAAATGTAATAGCGAATAAAATTACATTGCTGTACATCAAGATAATTTCAGTAAAGCCTAGTATATCCGAAATCATCCCAAGGAAAATGAAATGTGAATCACATATTGCTAATATACTAATACGTAATTATAAAAAAAATTCAGAACGAGTAATAATAATTATATTATTAACAGTTGTTAATTATATAATTATGTTTATAGCAGTTCTTAGGTTACTTCAATCTAAGGGCAGTGGTACAGTTTTTATATCTTTCCATACGCCTAATTCTTAACATATCAAAATCTTAAAATGCACTTTATGTAAATAGCGTTAGAAAGTATCGCTTCACAAGCGATACTCATTTAACCAGCATATTTATCTCTGATATGCTTACGAAATGTTCCTTAATACGCAATAGTAATATACGTCCCAGGAATTCAAGATATATTGCGGAACAAAATTAAAATTGGCAAACTGTATCAGTAATTCCTCATGGATTTAAGAGTAAATAGAGGAAGTGTTACAAAATAAATATTACCAGCGAATTGTCGTTGGTAAACCAAAACGTGGTCAAGGTTAATCGAATGTCTCTAAAGCTATTAGTATTCACAAAACATCATATCAAGTATAGGAAATCGACTTCTCGTCACTTCCAATGTTAATCATTGAAACAAGGATTGTCTTCCTGGAGAATTCAAAGATCTCTCTATCTTTCCATTCGGGAGAAGAAATCGAAATATAAGGCTGACTTCGCAGTAGCTACTAATACATTAATAAGTAAGAGCATTGGTTAAAGATGACTGGGTGAAAATTGCTCCATGCAAGGCATTCAATGCGTAATGTCCTCCTTTTTGCCTTTTTTCGTGGGAGACCACGTAAGATGCATTGTAGACAATGCATCAACGGCAGAATCTAAATAACAGTCTAACACTAGATGCAGATTTTCACCAGATTTTCGTCTGGTTATGCAGTTTTGCACAAGCGTCAGTAAAAGACTTTCAGCATTTTTTTTTTTTTTTTTTTTGTCTTAAAAGGACAGGATCTTGTAGATACATTAGGTATTTTTGAAGCAGGAAAGATGAAAAATGAGCAACGCCTTCTCCGGGAATTGAACCACGGGCCTCTGGAAAACGCGCCTAGCGTGCAGACCACCACACCACGAAGGCACGCCAAGAATACGGGAGAAATACCTTATAATCTTTTTAAAAGGTCACACCGATCTACATATATATAGCAAGGTTCTGTAACGGAAACAAATGTGCAAAGACATGTTCAAATTCTCTTCGTAAAACTTGTTGGGTGTCAGTAGATACAAAATCTTTCTTTCCAAAAGGGCGTTAGTGCCCGATCCCATCATGGAAGCCTGGACAATAAATATTTCGAAAGTAAAGATATAGTATGATGGTTAGGTTGGGTCATTTTGAATATCGCAAAGGTCATTATAGCTATCTCCCTTGGTTAGGAATGCCTTCCTGTAGGATTTCATTCACGTCGCACATGGAGGAAACTACGAAACCCAACTATGCCACCAGCTCCTTCGCTTGTACTCGAACATGTCGTGAGCTACCAGAATTCAACAGTCTTGACCATTCGGCAACTGATGGAGTATATATTTTGATGGAACTGGCCAGCATACTCCCAAAATCTCAGTGTTATTGAATATATCTAAAATGCCTTATAATTCCAAGTTTCACTAATGTCGCCTTCGTTCCTGAAGCTATCACGAATTCAAATCTTCCTTCATAAAATACAAAGGTTAGTTAAGTTATGTTAGTTATAAAAATGAATTCACAGTTTTATTTATTCCATGGAAAGATACTATTACGCCCGCATGTCAATTGTCAATAATCACATATTACTGTAACTAGTTTTATCCAGATTAACGGAGTAAAAATAACTTTTCTTTTTGTAGAATAGAATTATTGAATTTGGATAAAACGCGAGAAAGCTATTTCCTTAGCTCCCTCCCAGTTCTGAAGGAGAGTCCGCAAGAGAAAGAAACAGACAGAAACACAGCAGCTAAATTCCCTTAATACCAACCTCTCTAAATTGTATTTTTTTAATAATTATGTTTCTCCAGAAAATGTTACTGCGTAACCCTGTGACATACTGATAATGTAAAAAAATTTAATTTTGATAAATTTTATTTATTTTGTAACTTTAATAACGTTTACATGAACAAATCTTTAATAGCGTTAATGCAAATTCTTTAAAAATACAAAGGGCGTTTTTTCGCACATCACAAATGGTATTGACTTTTCTATGTCATCTTTTAATTTGAGTTTACCAGAGTATATCAGCAAAGTTATTTACACGTAATTGAAATCATGAAATAAATTCAGAAACATAAGCGTTGAAGCGCAGGAGATATAAAAAGCGAGAATCCTTATAATTTAAAAATCAACTACTGACTTCTGTTAAGAGAATAGTCAAAACTTTACTCTCTCAGTCGGGCTGGTGCAATGTCTTGAGCAAGCAAGATTAAGCTCAAGTTGCAAGAGGCTCTTTGTGATGAGGCTCACGTGGAACACAGGCTACGAAATGTCTGAAATTACGTGACGTATGCATACTAGAAAACGCTGAATGAAAGTTGATGCAGAGAGGCACGGAGCAAACTCTAAATATGTTGTTTCACTCTCAACATTCTCGACTCATGTGACTTCAAGCACTCCGTTTCCTAAGTTTTCCTCTGACATTCCACCTGTGAGCTGTTCAGACACTTGACATAACATTACTCAATAAATTATCTTCCGGTTTCTAAAATTATGTCAAAAACTCTTTTTTTTCTGTTCGTTGTAAATTTTCAAAATATAAGAATATGAAAATATGAATTGTAATCTTAATTTAATTTAAGTCATTTTAAGTGCATCCTTATATCAAACTAATAAGGGAAACATTCAGCTAAAGAGAAAAAGAGTGGAAAAAAGAGCGGATATACTAACTTCCGCAATCCACTCACAGCTGAGCAAATTAGTATCACAATAAAATCCTTCTCTTTATTCTACCTTCCCGTACTGCTGAAACTTAGTGCACCTTGGCATAAGATTAATTCAATTAAAATGTTAGAAAAAATTTTATAACTTTTTCGAAAAATTGCATTTTTAGCTTATATTTCGTTAAAAGTTACAAATCACAAAGTTTCAGTCAAAAAACACAGTTTATCTTAAAAACAAGGCGTGAACTGCTTCCTGAAACACACTAAGCTATTTGAGAATTTTTACATAATTATCATAATTAAACATTTCATTTGATTACATTATTATACATAGTTCACTAGAAAAAGGCAAAGAAATAAAATGCATTTCTGTTTATGTTTATACAAATGTAAGTTTTCCATAGATAAACTTTAGAAAATTGGAAGAAGCTATATTTAAACTGAGTCATTCAATATATTTTATTTTTAATATACTTATGATATGCTGAGTAATCTATGGCTAATATGAAAAAACTTATAAAACGTTGGTTTAGATAATTCTTTGCAGTTATGACAAATAATTCGATAACTTTTAAAGCCGACGATTTATCACTCCTGAAACTTATTTCCAACTTTTATCTTGAATAGAAATATTCACGCAGAAAATTTCAGAAAAGAGGGGCATCTATGTGCCTGTTTCAGTTCCTTAAAGAAACCAGAAAAATCACTAGGGTATACAAAATAATTTAAGGTGCGAACATTTTTCGTTTGAACATCAAATTGATTCGGTGAAGTTTTTGTTCCGCATCAGCTAACCTATTCAAGTTAAAGATTAAAAAAACATTTATCTGGAAGATATCTGCATACGAAATAAATATTTTGTTGTAAATTTAGAACAGAGTTTTAAAACCAAACATGCGACACTGCAAATAATTTCATTCAACAACAATAAAAGTTTCCTTATTGATATTCTATGAATTTTTAAATTTTATACGACAGATTTCAAACATAATTAAACTATTTCAACTTCACATTTCTTACCAAATGTTCTTGGAAACTTGATATCTGCATCTCGTTTAATGAAAGAGTGTCCTAAAAGAGCTCGACTTTAAATCCATAGAACAAGATATAATGTTTCTTTTTTAGTGTTGCGTAGGATTGTATTTTGAATGTAATAAACATCTATTTAAAATTTCGTCAAATGGTACCCAATTAGAAAAACTGTTTTCAATTGCTTCTAAAACTTTCTATGGAAAAAATAAGACTTGTCTTGATCTTTAAAAGAGAATCTACTTTTATTTTAACCAAAACAGCGCAATTTAAAGTAGATCATCTTTTCAAGGAAATACTCAAAGGTTTTTGTTTCTTTTTGTTCTAAAGACTTTCGTAAAACAAAGCTTACCTTTGGAAGGGACGTAGATGTTCAAATACAAGCAATCCTCACTCTGGTTCTGGAGGTATGGTAGTAATCTCTTGAGCGTCTCAACTCGGCCGGGGGGCATCTTCTTTAATGCTTCGGTTTCATTTCTGATGTCGGGTGGCTTCTGCGGGCAAACTGGGCTGAATTTATCGGCAGACCGGACACCCTTCCAGTGGGATGGGGTGACGGGCGGCATAAACCGCAAAGCAGAGATTGGGGGACTTGCGTACGGGATACCTAGGAATACATCCACGGATTGCAAGTTGGGTAAGTATGTAATAAACCCTCTCAAATCTCCGTATTTTGTGCTTATTACTCTTGTCCGAGGTTTGTTTGTGCCGCTGAGGGGAGTATATGGTGATGCTTCATACTGAGTTTCGGTCCGCGCTAATTTGTTCACAGACAGAACAAGCAAAACCATCAAATTGCACAATAAAATATACATCTTCATTTGAATTTTTGAAAGTTCGCTAACAGGACATGATTTCAAAAGTCAATGTCCGGCAGTCAAGAAAAGTGTGCAGTTCAAATAATTGGCTCCTCCTTGTTAGAGGAAATAAAGTCTATTCACGCAACTCCGTGCACCAATAGATCAAGGTGAAAAGGTTCCAATTCACATGGTGATAGAGCCTGCAAAGAGAGGAGATTCCCTTAACGTCCGCTCTCGAGTAGGAACACTTTTTCAACTGTGAAGCGGCGGCGGCAGCGGCGGCGGCAGCAGCAGCGCAATCGCGTTCTCATCACGCGTGCGCGAAGCCAGCGACCACTGGCTCGTCCATTCAAAAGAAAGCGGTTGCTTTCTGGGAGCTTCTAAATATAGAATAACATCTGTCCAAGATTTTTACCCAGGCCAACATACATCCTATGAGACCCTAGAAGATGTGAAATGAAATTAAAAAAAGACAAACGTCAAACTTGATTTCAGTACGCTTCGCCTAAGAGTGCGAAAGTTTTGCTTGAAAACGAAAGGAAAATGACTTTTGAAATGAAATTCCTGATTATCTGAAATTAAGGAGTGCTTGCAAGTGCTTAGAAAACTATCTCTAACAGGACATAAAAACAATTTAATTACACTTACATCTTTTGGGTTAAGTTCCTAAATCTTAAATAAGAAACATGTATTCCTTGATTTCTTCTCAAACTGATTGATTAGTAAATATAGGCTGCGTTTAGGTTATTGTCGTTTTAGTTCGTAATTATATATGCATTTCTACTTGCATCTTCACTGTTTAATGCAATTATCACGAAATGTTTTGCTTTCTTAGCGAAATATTTTCCTTTTTTTAACTTCAAATTATCTTGACTGTGTCGAAGTTTCCACTTTTCCTCTTTTTTAATTTGTAGAGATATTAAGTTTCTCGGAGCAAGAAATATAAAAATCAACTGCGATTTCGCCGAGAATCGAACCACCGACCATCCAACTTCTAAACACCTACACCACTAAACACTTACACTATGAAAGCACACATGGGAGAATCCTAATAAATTTGTAGAGGAATTTTTTAACTGTTTTTAACATGCAATAAAACTCCAATCAGATAGAGAGCGTGCAATCGCGATTAATTGGCAAAGTATTGTAATAATCGTAGTAACATTTTCTTGACTGTGACAAAAATTTAAAAATTTTGTATTAAAATCTTATTATTTTCAGAAAATATAATAATAAACGTAAAATATTAAAAGTGAAGCTGAATTTTGAAAAAATATTGCAAGTTAGCTTCTTTAATTATACATTTAAAGAAAGAAAAATTAAATTAACGGACATACATGTACAAAAAATACAATTAAGGAATACGCAATTATTAATTATATTATTAATATATATAATATGCATTATTATTAATTATACATTTAAAGAAGTGTTCTCAATAACAAATAACGGTAATGACCGTAAACAAAAATTAGGAACACAGTTGTACGGAATCAAACTATCCTAAATATTAATTCCGATTCCGTATAGATAGTCAAGCGACTTACTACCGAGTACAGGTCTTCTAAAAAATAAATCATACCTCAGAGGAAGCTTTAAAAAAGGTTTAAGTTAAAGTGTAAATTTATACAGTAACGTCTTACTGTAAATTTTGGCTCAGGCCTCCTAATCACGCAAGCAAACATGGTTAACAATGGCTAAAGCCGATTCAGGTAAAGCTAGGAGGTGGGCAAAAATAATCCGAAAACAGTCAGTGGATCGCTACCAAGAGATCTTTCTTAATTAATTTTCTTAATTAATTTAATTAATTTCTTAATTTAATAATCTTTGTTCTTATATGTGTTAAATAATTTTCGTCCTGATGGAGTCGACGAAAGTAGAAGTGACAATAAAGGTAAAAACAATTATAGTATAATGTGTCAATGAACATACAAACTACACAGTAATTACGCAAGTTATTAAAATTTCATTGAGAAACTTCAAGCACTGAAAATATTAAGATACAATAACACGCCGAACAAATATTAGCTTAGAAGCCAAGCAACAAAAATCAGCGTTATATTTTCAAATTTTCACAGGACTAGTTTCGAAACTAGTCCTGTGAAAATTTGAAAATATAATGCTGATTTTTGTTGTTTGGCTTCTAAGTTAATGCTGAAAACATTGTTAGTGTTGTGGGAAAACAGATATTTCACATCAAATAGGGAAAGGCAGAGAGAGGATCAGAATCCCTTTCCATATCTAATTGTGAAATAATTTTAAGTTTTCTAACTGCATAGGTTTATCAAAGCAAGAAACAGGAAAAATAGTAATGCCCTCTCCGTGATTCGAACTGCAGTTCTCCCGACTGCTAGCCGAAGAGGCCTTTCAGTCACATCCAAAGGCACGCGATAAAAAAGGAGAAAATAGCTTACATTTGTAAGGATATAATTATATTTAGCTATTTATGCCAAATAGCTTTATTGTCTTTCTCCTTTTCCGTTTTCCTGCCCGAATGCAGAATTTAGTTTGCTCATATTCAGATGAGGTAGAAAGAGATAGTATTTAAAGGAAGATTTTAGACTTTTTAATTAGAGCGTGTTCCGCCTGCTGAAACCCGCGTTACTAGTTGAATCTCTTCAGTAGCAGCCTGTCTGTGGCGTTGCGGTATTTCTTGCCATTAGGCTTATCGAGACGCTATTAGGTCTGAGCCAACTTGCGAGTTATTTAATCTACGTAGCCATTGGCTAAATTATGACTTACTTAACTTTTATTTAAATTCATGACTTACTTAATTTTGATTTAAATTCATGACTTGCTTTGATTTAAATTCATTACTTTTGAGTTACGCCTTAAGTGCTTTCTGGTTTTGTAAGCACAAGAGGTGCCTTCTGTTAAAATTTCTGAGTTCAATTAAAGGGTCTTTAACACCCTTCTTAGGTTTTACTGTCTTCATATACATAATATAGCGATAAGCGATATATATATCATATATATAATATAGCGATAAGTCATTTAGTTTTCAGATTGAGTTTTATGCTTCCAAAGAAGGTGAGACTCATTTGTCTAAGAGTATAAATTTCGTCTTTGAAAAATTTTCGTAAATATCAAAACATAGATTCCCACCAATCCTTTAAATTTATTCCCTTCTTCTCCTCAGAACCCAGACATAATTTAAATTTAAGAAACCATCTTGCAATTTCTACCTTAAGTGCTGAAGTATGACTACGATCACACAATATAAATAGCAACAATATGCAGTTTACACATGCTTCCATTCTTAAGTTTTATGATATTTAATCACATTTTTATCAACACATCCATCTAACATTTACTTGTTGTTTAGTTTATAAAGAGCCGGATAAAATTATTAGGCATTCAATAATATTGCAGACATTTTCAAACGAAAGTACATGAGCGACTATTTTAATTTCTAGAATGACCATGTAGTATTCCTCGTGTTATAATTACACTAGAATTATGTGAATATTCGTATTTTACACGTTCCTTCTACTATATGAGTACATTTGAAGGTGTTAGTTATTTAGAAGGTAAATGCACATGTACTTGGACGTAAAAATGGGCGATCGAAATTTGGAGCAGAGTATGTTACATCAAGTTTTGAGTGAAAATTAGAAACAAACCTTATTGAAACATTAGAATTGTTCAGAGTGGTGCATTACGAAGACGCCATGAAAAACGTCTAGGGTGTTTGAGTGAACACGACTGAGAAAATTAGAAAGGTGACAAAAGGAGCAAATTAGCCAGAAGCAAAAATGGCGGGGGCTTATTATTAACAAAAAGGATTGGATTATTGGATTATTAATTTATGGCAAAGCACACGAGGGCTATCTGCCTAAAGGAAGGGATGCCTTCGTGGAGGACTTTCTAAGGAAACTGGCTCGTACACACGTTACACATGGGGAAAACCACGAAAACGCCCATGCAGCCAGCCCGTTCGCGGTATTCGAACCTTGGACCGAACTACCAGTGTTCAGCGTCTTTACCGCTCGGCCACTGGTGTGCTATTAACAAAGAGGAGATGTGATATAATATGATAAATGATTAAATGTGCAATTGTTAATTGAAGAACAGAAGATGGATCGAGAAGACTAATTTTATTTAAAGAACTAAGCATAAGAAATAATATTTGAGAAATTTCTTTCCCACCCATACAATCACAATGGCTTCTTGTTAGAGACAATTTGACCAGAAAATTGTAACTACTCGATTAATTCATCCAGCATATTCACCTAATTTAGTTCGTTGTGATTTAGCTACCTGTGTTTCGAAATTAAAAGCCTCGCAAATTTTTAAAGGTCAGTACTGATTCTGCGATAAAAATTATAATTAATGTTATCCAACATGTATTGCAGAAAATCTTATGCCGCTTTCATAAAAATGAATGTGGTCTACGTCAGTGTATAGATGCACAAAATGAGGGAATTTCGAAAGAGATAGTGTCCTTTAATATGCAGTTCAACAAGTAGCTTTTTGAAGGTACAACTCAGAAATTACTTAAATTATCATACATTGCATTTCTAACTCGAAACATAAAATATGCCGTGTTCATAAAAGTCTTTACTCTGTCTGTTTTCGCAACCGCTGGACATAGTCATATACTTGCAGTTATGTTTCAAATAAAGCAAATACTCATATTTTAGCAATTTTAAATTTTAAAAATCAATTTCGTAAAAATTACAAAACGTAACTTTTTGTATGGTACTCCGGTTCCCATAGCTACATGTAGTAAAAGATTACACACATTCTAGAAAATAAAGTAAGTCAATATTGATTACGGTACGACAAAAACTGGCAGAGACGTTTAATTTTAACCCGTAACAGAGGAGGTGAAAAATTTGAACATAATAGGGGACGTGCGGTCTTAGAGACCGCGCATTATAATAAATTTTTAAAAATCGTCTAATTAAAATATCATCATGATATTTCACTTAGATGTTCTTTGAACATTTTACTCTGAAAAGAAAACATGTTTTTACACTTTAAAGTGAAATTAAAGTTTTCCCAGAAAATTTCCTCATAGCCTCAAACGTTTCGATGAAAATCATATGCTGCACTAAATTCTATAAAACTAAAAATAAGAATGCATCTATTTTGAATTAACTATTTTATCTGTATTATAATATTCAAAGCAATTTTAACATTTTAACCGCAGAAAATTGTATGTAGCACAATACAGAAAAATTTTGACAGTACCTAAAATATCAGTATCTCACTGATTTT